CCCCCCCCCCCCCCGCCAAAATCTCTTTCATGCTCATTTCCACCAGATGGCACTTTGAGGCAGGCTCGCTTCCATCCACCCCGAAGAAAGTGACTCAGAAGTCAAAGGAGGAAACCACATTTTTTAAGGGGAAAAAGTAACAGGAAAACAGTTTCAAGGAAGAGGTAATCTTCCTCCTCTGGACTTCCACTGGGAGTTAGAAATGTTGATTCTCAAAGGTTTGCTTAATGGGAAGCTGCAAGAATGAGGAAGCCCCACTAGCAGGCCATGAAGGGCTGGCTGGCTGCTGGTGCCAGTGCACAGGAGGGTTGGCTGCAGGACTAGAAGTGACTGCAGACTGGCAGCCAACCTTTTTTTATACCGAGTATAAAAAAAGGTTTGTTGCTGCTTCTGGACTGCAGTTTGCTAGTGCACAGTCACTTCCAGTCCATGGTTTGCTACTCTGGGGTCTAAAGTGGTTGGGAACCACAGCAGTAGATTAATTACCTGCTCCTTAGCTGACAAGGTTCTGTGGGTATATCTGATCTCTTATTAGACCAACTCAAGTAGTTGGCAAAATAATTTCTTTGCAAGCTTTCTCGTATTAATACCCTTCCTCAGGCTGAGGAAGCATCTGCAGTTTGTGTGCTCTTTTTCCATTTCAAACAGAAAGCCTGCAAATAATTTTTTCCAGCTATTTGAGCTGGTCTAGTAAGAGATTGGATTTACCCAAATAACCTTGTCTTGTCTATGTTCTTAGGCCAACATGGCTACACCTTCTGCTTGCCTAGTTCCTCCCCTCGCAGCCAACACACGCACCAATCTTCTGTGAGTATCTCACGGACACTTTTTCCCCAGCACGGGGTGGCTGGAGAACTTCCTATTCATCATTCCAAAATGCTCAGAGCACACGAGGGAGCTCTTTGTGTGCTGCAGCACACTAGTTGAAAAGCACTGATCTACTCCACACAGCTCTATGAAATCACCTGCTTTTTATCATTATCCTTGAGGTTTCCTTCATGCCCACATATGCTGTTGCCACTACTGTTCAGCCTGGACAGTATGTCCTCAGACATGTACACACCCAACTGCATACAGCAGCGGTTCAGCCAGAGGTGGCAGCAGCATGCTTGCAGTTGCCAAATATCACCTCTCATTCCCAGTCGCAGGAAAGCAAAACTACCTTGAATAAAAAGGAATGCCACTTTGTTGAGTTTGACCCAGACAGGTCACCATCCAAGCCCTTTTATTCGCTTTCATTTACAGACCAAGTCCCAGGAGTGCAGTACCTGCTGCATGAGCCATAGGTGCTCACCTGCATGCTCACTGTGGACTTCAGTGGAGTTAAAGGCACACAGCCCTTTTCCTCCCCCAGGATGCATCCCAAGTAGGAAGGGCTGGATGCAGAGTGCACTGGAGCTGCCCAGCCAGCCTTTTTAGGTGGAACATTTGGAAGGAAAAGTGGCACACACTTGTTGAGAATTTGCTACAGAGAGCTGGGGCAGCCCTATTACAGAGCAACGGGGAAAGTGAGGAGGCCAAGCAAGTACCCCAGCCATTTCTTTGAATCCGGTTCACTACAACGCCATCAATTCATTTCGATCCTACACTCTTAAACAGCATGCGAAACTTGCAAGAAATGGATGGTCTTATACCTATAAAAAGCCAGCTAAGAAACAAATCCCAGGCGTTTCACGCCGCATCCTGGGGCTCCTTGTCCCCCCACAATTACTGCTGGGAATTATTTTTCTCGAAAAAACGCTGACAAGTAGCTGATGCGCTCAGGACCAGACGCGTATCAGCCGCACGGAGATGCCCCGAGAGAAAGACGCTCCTTAGCTGGTCAGAGCCGACGACTTTCTTTTCACACTCGCGTCTCGCGCTCCCCGTGCTCAGGGAGGGGCCAGCGCAGCCCCGGGAAGCCGCTCGCCGCACGGGGGTCAGGACACTGCTGCTCTCGGAGCGCCCGAGCCCAGGGCACGTGACTGCCGCGACACGCCCGGGAGCAGCCGAGACCCGACTCCGTCCTGGGGGAGAGGCCAGCGGCGCCTGAGGCACCTGCAACCAAATGAGTCACGTGACCATAATAGCGCGTGTCACGTGGCCCGGTCTTTCTACCAACCCCGGAAGAGCCCGGCTCCTGTCACGTGCTGCTGTTAGGCCTCCCCCCCCGGGGGTGGTAAGTGGAGGGTGGACGCCAAGGCTCCGGCGCCAAGGAAGGTACCGGGAGCGCGGCTCTGCTACTCCAGCGCTTCTGGTTGCGAGCGGTCACAGGGCCTGCTGGGAATTCCGGGCTGTGCCGGCCGCGGAGCTTGCCGGGAATTGCGGTCTCGGACAGCCCCTAGGCGGGTGGGCGTGACTCACGGAGGGGGCGTGGCCTGCCGTGGCCTGTGAGCGCGTTCGATCGCGTCTGGGGGCGGGGCCGTCTTCTGGCTCCTGTGGTGCGTCGGGCGGGAGCGGAGCGGAGCTGAGTCCAAAATCCTTCCGGGTTCCGCTGGTGCAGGGGTGGACACCGAAGGGCAAGCGGTGGGGGTGGGGGCTAGAGCGGCCGTTGCGGAAGGGGGTGATCCACTCCTAGCGCTTCTGCATACGCTACCCCAGTAGGAGATCATCGCTCCCGGTGCACCGCGGGCGTGGCTGGCTCTAAAGGTGTGTCTACACGTGCACTTCAATGTGCATTAACCTATTTTAATGTGTATTAGTGTCCCTAAAAACCATGCACTTTAGCTAATGTGCATTAAAGCATCACTAAAAACCTCCCCACGTAAGAAATTGCTACCCAGTAGAGCCTTCCGTCCTGTGAAATAAGCACCATAATGTGAAGGAAATATGACTAGATCCTGCTTGCACCAGACAAGTTGGAGGTAAACAGACTAGTCCAGCCTTTCTCTGAGCCTAACCTGCATAAAATGAGCTGTTCCAAACAGGAGATTTTTACTACACCTTTGACTCTTCTATGAAATATGAACTTTCATTTCTACCTAGGAGAACATTTATAGTCTCTTCTGTGCCCACAGAAGGGTGCTTGTGCCTGAAAGCTTGCAATTAAAGAAAAATTTGCAAAAACCTAGTGGTCTAATAAAATATACCACCTCTACCATGAGTTCTGGTCACTAAAAACCTTGCGCTTTCACTATTGTGCATTTTCTAGAGGTGCACGGATCCATTGGTCTGATACTGGATCGGCACCAATATAAAGAAAATTGATTTTATTGGAAATTGGCCTGGTGCGGCTGATAATTTGGCCAATAAATGCCTGTGCACGCGCACAATCGCAGCACAGCATGTAGGCAGGGAGGAGCACAGCCTGGCAGCTTGGAGAGCATTAACTAAAGTGCATTAATGCACATGTAGATGTGCCCTTAAAACATCAGGATGTTGGGCCAGGTGGCTTGGTTACTGCTGTCACGGTCAGAAATCCCTTGCTTGGCCCTCTTATGCTTTGCTCTTCCACTGCTGAGAGCTGATCCCCTCTGTAACTTTGTATTTTGCCTTTTCAAACGAGGTCATTTCTAGTGGACACTGGCTTTTTCTTGGGTGGTTTTGAGTCTTCAGTTAATTGTAGGTGTTCACTTGCTGCCTAATCCAGTGTCAGAAGGAAAAACCTGTAAATTCAAGTTAGCACAGTGACTATGTCTGTGTGGTTACATGTGGGTACAAAATGAGCTGTTGATCTAAACCCTGAGTCTGAACCAAATTTTCACGCTTGAGCACCTAGTTAGGCAGTCAAATAAGTGAGGCCTGGTTGCAAAGTTGACAATCACTTCCCTTGATTGTGGTAGGTATTTTGGGTGCTAAGCACCACCCCTGACTAGGGTATTTATATTTAAATATTTCACTGAGGATGGGTCCCTAATTGCAGGCACCTCTTTTTGAAGTTTGGTCTGTGCTATCTGCTGGAGGTTATACTCTCGGTCAGTGAAGAGTTGGTATTAGGCAGTTTCTGATTTCCAGTCTTACAATCAGAATGCTTTATGTGATGGGCTATCTGGTAATGATTTGGCCCAGGGGTTTTGAAAGGGTAAAAGATGATTGGAGGGCTTGGGATTCCCTTTCCTCACCAATCAGACCCCAGAGACTAACCCTCCATGTCCCCTGATTGGCCCCTCGGGTCACCTGGAGGGGGATAAAAGGGGCAGCTCAGCTGATTGGGGGGAGACCAGTGAGGGTCCAGGAGGAAAGTTTCAGAGCTGGGCCAGCAGGGTGGGAGTAGTTGCCTCAGAAGAACCTTAAGGAGCAGGACCTGCAGGCAGCAGTGGGACCCTCAGCAGCATAGCGAAGGGGTTGCAGTGTGGTGTGCGGCCAGCAGAAGAGGGTCCCTGCTGGGCTCCAGTCTCCTATGAGAGGCTGTAGCTAACAGGAGAGGTTCCCTAGCTCCAGCAAGAAGCTGAGCAGTAACCTGTGAGGTTCTCGATTCTGCTTCCGGCTTCTCCAGCAAGAGGCTGGGAAGCTTGACATGAGGAAGGGGCTCCTGGAAAGTCAAGACCCCTTGCAGCTTGGAGCAGCACCAGCACTAGTGGCTGTGTGGTAGAGTGTCTGCCTACCGTGTGGGTGACTTGAGATTAAGTCCCATCTGGGTCAAGTAGGGGTGAGTGAAGTGACAGGGAGCAATTCTTGTTGCAGTGGAAGGAGATAATTGTTTTTTCCCTCTCTTCCCCCCTCCCCTCTTCCAGGTACCTTGGCCCTATGCTTCTTGTTATTTGACATCTTGTATTTTGTGCATTTTATATTTTGCCAACCAGTCTTGTTTATTCTGCTGTTTGTGTTTTTATATTTTGTTAAACCTGTCTTTCGTCAACTAGATGAATATGTCTGTGAGCATAAGTGCCTAACCTTTATTGAATCCTGCCCCCTTGGGGTGTTATAGTGTCCCCTATAACATGTATAAACCAGGGGGTATGTTCCCACTACTGTGTTTCCTCATTACAAGGTATATGGTTAAGTCCCCATTGGTGATCTGGCTCTGTTCTGTAGGGGCAGGAGGGTCCCTATGTAGCAAAAATAGTTACTTTTCTCTATGTTTCTTTGTTCCTTGTTTTAGTATTAACCCCTGCATTCTGTAACTTTCCACCCACATGGTACAGGATGGCCCACTACGTATGTCTTATAGGTTGCTCAGGTTTTGGTTTGAAATGACCAATCAAAATGTAACACGTCAACTGAAAAAAATGCTAGCTCAATAAAAGCCACGTGCGCTCTTTGTTTAGGGTTGACACTGATCTGAGCAACAAGCTCCTCTGTCGGCCTGCTTGCAAGCAATAAAATAGAGTTGGATCCAGCCTGAAAGTGTGACTCTCTTCTAGAGGTGAATTGGACTAGCCTCCAGGGGATAAAATCAGCAATTTATGCAACACCTACACCTCCCACAGCGCTTGTGCACCAGCTCTGATCCCTTCAGCTGGAGAGGGGGTACCTCTTGGGGTACTGTCCAGGTTCCATTTACTTTATGCTTATTCACAAAACAAGTCACGTCATGAAAGAAACATAACCCCTGCCTCAGATGGAAATGTATTCTCACAACTGTGATAGTCATCATGTTTCTCTTATTAGTTAAGATTTTTGTAGTATCCTCTGTAATTGAAGAGGATTGGATTATTCAAAGAAGCTGTGCTGCTGTTTGGCTAATACATAATCGGCTAATAACTAGCCTGGAAAATATTGTTATTTACAGCAATTCATGAGAGCTGTGACGGGGCTAGCATTTTATTAGAAATTATGCAATTGCTAAGCATGAAGAGCCACAAGAATGTCATAAATAACCCCTAATGTTTTAAATGAATGTGACAGAGAGATGCATTCTGGAGAAGGTGCTAATTGATGTACTATAAGAAGAAAAGTAGCAAGCAGAACTCTCAGAAGTCTCTGATATTCTGTTATCAGCCCAGCCCAGCCCAGCTTTCCAGTTATCCTTTTATCAGCTCTGGCAAGTTTTCCTTCAGCTGTCCCATGCCTCATGTAAGGCCTCCTTTTCTGTGCTATGCAGGCCTGTTTCACAGAAAGCCTTTCTTCAGAAAGCATTTACATATGAAAAATAGCAGCCTCGGATGTGTTGGGGACATAGAAGTAAACTGAGGCTACAACTAATTACTTCGGAGCTTCACTCCTTCATCCATTTTCCCATCTCTGCTGTATGCTAGTCTGGATCTAAGGTATTGCTATGGCTTGCTGTGTTGCAGAGGAGTTAAATATTCTTGTCTCTTCTGGAACTAGATTAATTTCCTTTAAAGTGGCCCCTCTCCCCCTTTTACCTATTTTCTTTACAATGTAGAAATACTTGGGTTTTGCATTCTTTTTTTTTTTTATCCTTTTGCAAATAACTTTTAGCATTAAATCTGTGCATATCCTCAACCATATCATTATTTAAACCAGTAGGTTCTCAGCCTTTCTAGTCTCAAGGCACCCCCTCTGTAAGCTTTTAATTTAGTGGTACCCTAGTTCAAAAATAATTTAACTATTACTGAGCATGGAAAAATAACAGAGCAATTTTTTTGTTGTAAAAAACCTCAGACTGTAATAGGTCAGAATGTTTTTGATACTGTGGATTCCTATTTGAAATCTCTGGGTTTATTTTTTGAATCATGTGTAGGTCTTTGCAGACCTAAGTGCTAATATGTTGTGGCACCTCTTGGCACCCTTAAAAGGATTTCATGGTACCCTAATTGAAAATCACTGACTTGTGGATTTGGCTCCCCTTGCTTTGATTTATATGGAGAATAGAGGGTTATTTAGTTGGTTAAGAATGGCACAAGAGAATGAGAAGTGGTTTAGAACTTGTTTAGTGTCAGTCACACGTGTTATAGCAGCAGTGAATCCTACAAACTTAAGTCTAGTCATGGATTTTACTGAAATGGCTGCCAGGAGATTTATCTAATAAGCAGGCTGTATGTTTTATTAGTGCCTATGAACATTTTGAGTAAATAGTTTTATGAATGCTAGGGCATCTGCAGTATTCTTGTGTAACAACCCTAAATATTGTTTTATAAAATAGCTTTTTAATATTTTTATTTAAAGAGCATGGATTCACACAATTCAACCAAAGAGGCTGATAAAGTGGAGACTGATCCTCTTGTCTATGTTGGTAGAAAAGAAGACATAAAAAGATCCCAAAGGGTAACAGCCAGCGTGAATGGTAGAGAAGTTGTTGTTTTCTACTATGAAAAGAAATTTTATGCTCTGGACTCCCGATGTTATCGTAAGTTTGTTTTGTTTTTCTGTTATAAGTAATAATTTTTAAATTAATCTAAAGTAGGTCATGATTCTAACTCCGTATTCCGCTACATTTTAGATGCAGGAGGTCCTTTACAACTTGCCGATATAGAGGTATGTAAACATTCTAAAAGTAACACACACAATCATTTAAAGTCTCTTCACGCACTTTTTAATCCCTATTTTTAAACTACCCTCTCACTTTCCACTAAATAATGTTCTCAGTAACACTAGAGTAATTCTACTGAAAACAGTGGGTTTACTTAGGATTTATAATAGTGTAAGTAGAGCAAAATTTGTCGTCATCTCTCTTCAAAGGATGGTTCTTTTCTAGTCCTTTGGACTTTGAAAAGTTAAGTGTTCTCAGTTCCTTGTGGTTTGAGAGACCCAGGTAGTTTTTAAACTAACCGTATAGTAAGTGCCTAATCATGCGTGCCTAATTCTTATTTGACACCCTTGAACAGTTACAAAATCCTTTGCTCTGTATACACCAGAGAGGCATGTTCTCTGTTAAAAGACAGTTCAGAATAGTATTAGTCCATTTAAGATTAAAAAAAAAAAAAACCAAAAAAAAACTTCTTAAGCATATTCTCTTTTTGAGATCAAAACAATCATTAGCTGGGGTCAGAATCCTGCTTTTTCCCCTCTCTCTTGCTCTACCCAGCAATGGTAGAGTACTGCCAGGTAAATGCATTATGAAAGATTCAGAAGAAGGCCTAATATTGGGCAGTGGTAGAAAGAACCTCCCGCAGTATCTGATCCAGTGGTCCAGTCAGGGATAGCAGTAACTATGCTATTGAAAATAGAACTTGATGCTTCTGCCTTGACACCACAGGATGTTACAACTAGGCCATAAGACCATATTTTGGTTTAGAGACATTTCATAGAGAACAGTCTGATTCCAGTGAGTTATCTTGTTCTGGTTTTTTTTTTTTTTTTTAGGCTATCAATGGACAGCTGTGCATTATTTGTCCCTGGCATAAATATAAAATTACCTTAGCAACAGGAGAAGGATTGTATCAAGCAATTGACCCTACGGAGCCATGAGCCACACCAAAATGGAAATCCAAAGGAGTAAAGCAAAGAATTCATAGGGTTATTGTAGACGGTGGAAATGTTTATGTGACTCCTCCTGACCTATCGGTCAGTTTTGACTCTGATTTCTATGCAGACAAATACAAAAAGACTGGAGAGTCCATTGAGAAAAAATAATGCAACACCTGAACATCAGAATTTATGGACAAAATGCAAACACTAACGAATATTCAGTGAAGGCATCACCATTACAGGATGAAGAAAAATTGTACGCAGTTATGTAAACTATTTTTAGATGTTGATATAAAATGAAATGTTACTGTTAATTTTATTGCTCTGAAAACATTCAGGAACTTAGAAATGTGTAACATCATAAGGAAATATCTGTGAGAGTCTTTAATATGTAAATCAGCATTATGGCAGTTCTTATTTTTGTTCTTGCCTTGCACAAAATATAAATGTGTGTGTATATTAGATCTGTCGGTAATGGGGGAAGTGTTAGAAACTAAGTTTCTGGAGTTAAATCTTTTAATACTTTAGTAGGAAAAACATTTTACATTATTATTACTCATAAAGCAAGCTGACAAAGTTTAAGTTAAATATCCGTTTAAGGATAAAACTTGTTCTTGATTATCAAATGATCTAGACTAGGAGCAGGCAGTTATTTGGGCCCATGGGTACATAGGCAGTGCTAGGGAGCTCACAGGCTAGTCAGCAGACCCTGCCCCTCCTGCTATCAAAACCCCAACAGTCTGCAGGCAATGCACCCTGTGGCTCCTCTGTACCCATGCCCAGTAGCACCTCCGTACACAGCCCGCCCCCAGCCCCCTCCATACCCACTCCAGATTCACCCTGGCACTGGAGAGGAGCTGTAGGGCAGCCCAGGCACAGGTTCCAGGCAGCTACAGCGAGAAGGGCCCAGCAGCGGTGAGAGGGAGGCAGCTGCTTTTCCTCCAGATTTAACAGCAGCTTCTGCCCAGCTGCTGCTGCTGCTCAGCATGGGTAGGTGGGCTGGAGCAGGTGCAGGGTAGGTCAAGGGTGCAGCTGTGTGCACAGGTCCCTGCCAGTACCACAGGGGTGGGGCTGGTAGCAGTGGCAACTGCCACCACTGGGCTGCTACAAATGAAGTCCAGCTGTGGAGTCAACCCAGCCTTGCTGTGCGCCCAAGGGTGGCAGCGGGACACACCATGGTCCAGATGGCACCTGGGCCAGGTGGAACTACGGGGCCTGCTGCGGGCTGGACAAAGTCCCTCTACAGCCTGCTTCCAGCCTGCACGCTGTATTGTGGCCACCCCGGTTTATACCTTCCATATAATCGTGAGTTTTTTTTTAAATTTGATTGACTTTTCCAGGTCAGAGGAAAATCTGCATACTTTAAAAAAAAATCTTAACATAGGGCCAGATTTTCCTAAAGTACAAGGTATCACAGAAAACAAAGGAAAAGATCAACCTTCCCTTCTTTAAAGGGGAAAAGGAAAGCTCTTTGTTGGGACTTCCCCAAGAAGCAGCCTTATTCAGTCTTCCTCGCCTGAAAAGACCCCCTGCAGTCAGCACTAGTGTGGCTTCACAAGGGGCGAGCTTTGACTTTGGGACTCTGGCTCTTCTCAGTCCCTGGCTTCTCCGGTGAGATCCTCCACCTCTGGGAGCTCCTTTTCGGGTAGCTCCTGGGAAGGAGGGAGGGTATTTTCTAATTTAAAAGTAAAAGGTTATCAGGATGCTGATGTCCTAAGCAGCACAACAGATGCTGTTTCAAAACAGTCTTCATTGTGCCATTCCAGTTCCTTCTGTTTTCACTTGGACTTTTCTCTGTCCGCTCTGGGCCCTTTTCTCCAGCTCTCTCAGAGCTTCCCTCTTTATCCTCTGGCTCAGTTAGCCACACATGCAACAAAACAGTTACAAAACGATAGTCATACCCTGGGGACAACAGTCATCCAATACAATGAAACATTAAGTCATGAGGAGCCAATTAGGGGCAGCCTCTGTGCCCTGCTGTCTGTTTTAGATGATGATCTGCCCCTGGGATGAAAAAAGCATCTAGAGCAGCAGTTCTCAACCAGGGGTCTGCAGCCCTTTGGCCCAGCCCCGTGCGGCGAGGCGCTACCTTGGTCCCCACCTGCGAGGCATGGGCGTGGTTAAGGGTTAGGAGGAGTCATACAATTGGCCCTCAAGGCAAAGACCACAGACACCTGTGGTCATGAGAGGGATCAGGCTTAGGAAGCCCCAGGGCAACCTCCCTTTTTTCTAAAAAATAATATCAAGGTGGGGCAGGTGAGTGAAGAAGAGGGTGTCCAAAGAAAAACAGACTAGACAAGGGCTGAGTGGCCACCAGGGGGCACCATGGCCACCCCTGGAACAGCACTTGTTACTTAGGGAACTGTTTGCAAGTGTTATTTACAGTAAAGCCCGCGCCGGCTGAGCCTCACAAAGTCCTCTCCAGTGGGACTGCAGGCTAGAAGCCAGCTCACCCAGCCTCCTTCATCACACAAAGCACTTCTACATTTTAATGTGCATTTTCATGCCTATTTCTGCATCTGTGATTACCCCCATTTTTCTTGGTACAAGTACTCATCTCTCTTATAGTGTCTGAACTCCTTCTGGTAGTGCATTAACCAGCGTGACTAGCAGCTATTGTGTGTGTTGTTTTTGCTTATGCTCTCCCTAAATGGAAAATTTGTTGTGCAACATAGTACTTTGTTTTTCAGGTTGGCATTTTTTTTGCCAAGTATACACACTGCTCTGTTTATTTTGAAGAAGTGTGCCTTGTACTTGGAGCAGAAGTTTCTAATGGGTCTTTTGTTCCTATGGGAATTCATTATAGTCTCAGATCTGCCCACACAGAAAGCTTGGTGTCCTTGACAGAAGCTTTTCTTTCATATTAAAAAGTTTCATTGTCCCTAAGGAGCAGAACTGTCATTCAGGATGAGATGGAGTCTTCTGACAAATTAGAGATTATTAAAAGCATTACTCAGGATTGCTGCTGCAATGTGAAAGCTTAGTGCTAGTGAGAAATCAAGGAACGCTTTTAAATTACTGAATTGACCAATTGTGGTTGTGAGTCTTTGATCAAAGGAAACCATGCTTGGGCTCCAGCTTTTTCATAGAATTTAGGGAGGCAAACAAAAGAAAGTACTGTATTACTTGGGTTCTGGTTCAACCTACTGTTCTTCAACCATAAGTTTTTCTCATTTGAGCACCAGACTTTCTTGGTACTCTTGCAAGCACTGCTTTGGGTATCTTACATATACACTTGTGTGTGTATACAGAAGATACATATGCATTATGAAGGTAGGCACACACATGCTTGTGAACCTTGGACCTCACTTGATTCAAATCTGGCCTTTAAAGTTGTATGGAAATATTAAAAAATATAGCATACATAATGATATTGCTGCTACTCTAGAATTTTGCAGAATAGAATGTAGAGGAGCATATTTTGTCAGCTTTGAAGCCAAGCAGGTTTTTCCGTTCATATTTCTGACATAACTGATTATGATAATTTTTAAATTACATAGCATTTTGGAAAATTTAAATATTGTGGTACAATGAAGACAGGAAAATCTGGGTGAGAAGAATGGTTCAGCCACAGTAAATGTAACAAAGTATACTTAACCAGTTTACTCATAGTTTACTAGTAGACTTAAGTTATTAGACACTGACTAGTAGTATTTACTTTGATATATTAAACACCAGAATAAAAAGTTGTGCCTTTCATGCAAGCTCAGGGATATTAACATACTAGCTTTCTGTGCCAGTGAAAAACTTGCTGTAGACTACAGTACCAAAAACATTCATAATAAGCCCGTCATATTACAATTATGCGGAATGCCATGATTCCAAAGAAAGATGTTCATTTTTTTCACTAGATGGGAACACTGAGGATGCTAATCCACTTGTATCAACTGATACTTTTATTAACAGTAAATGTTAAGTGTGAGTATGTTATTTCCTTTGAGTCGTAAGGTATATTTAGCATACCAGCAAATAGCTCACCATACTGCTTAATTTTCATGTAGAACTGCAGTGGATTTTTCTTGGTCCAGTGCAGAATGTAGGATGTGAATACTGCCACTTATTGAATTTTCAACAGGAAATTCAGAAACGACTTGTTTCACTGGAGAGGGTACTGTACATCTTGCTGCGTCGTCATATTTCAGGGATAAATCTTTTTTATCAACACTATCCTTTGTGTTTTCTCTGGAGGACTTTTCTTGAATGATCTCTTTTATTTTGCTTAGTACTGTGTTAATAAAGAGTGCCTATTTAAAAGAATAAGGATATATTTTAGTTTGAGAAACCCAGGAATTTGGATTATATATTGTTGTGTGTATACACTTAAAATGCACATCAGCCATGTTAAGTACACTTTAATTTGAGACTTTAGAAAACATACTGATATATTAACAACAAAGGGCTTGATCCTGGAAGATACTGAGCGCTCCAGTCACAATATAGCCAAAAACTTAAGCATGTGCTTAATGTTAAACATGCAAGTATTCCAAATGAAATCAGTGGTACTGCATAGATGTTTACCATTATGTACATAGACTTTGGGTAAATGTGATATCTATTAGACTAACTAAATAGTTGGAAAAATTGTTCTTCGCAAGCTTTCAGGCCCAAACACCCTTCTTCAGGCATAGGGAGAGTCTGATGGTGTTTTGTGTGCCCTCCTGGGTGGAATGGAGCCAATGTGCAAAATGCAGGTGGCAGGGACAAGAAATGTAAAACCTGCAAACATTTCTCCACCACTCCCACAATAACTACATCCCACAACAGAACCATCACCATTCCTGGATCTTGCATCTGTACCTCCAGAAATATCTCATCCAGCACACCAAAAGCTCTGATGGAACATACGTAGGAGAAACCAAACAACAACTGCGCACCAGAATGAATGCATGCCAAAAATCTATCAAAGACAAAAATACCCAATTACCTGTGGGTGCACACTTCTCACAAGACAACCACTCTCTCTCCAATCTCTTAGTTCTAACCCTCAAAGGGAATTTATAAAACACCTTTTGTAGATAAGTCTATGAACTTCACTTCATAAGTCTACTGGATACAAAAAAACATGGACTAAATATAGACATTGGATTTATGGCACATTATAACCACCTGCCATCTGATAACCCCAAGTAACCTGTCTGCATTTTACCAGCTACATTGAATTAGCAGGTCAACATCCTCCCCCACACCTGTCTCACAACTATTGTCTCCCATTCCCTCTGATCTTCTCAGCCATGCATTTCTATTTTCACAAACCTGCATTTTGCATGTTGGCTTCCATTCCACCCAGGAGAGCATACAGAACACCAGCAGACTCTCCCTATGCCTGAAGAAGGGTGCATGTGCCTGAAAGCTTGCAAAGAACAAATTTTCCAACAAATTAGTTGGTCTAATAAAAGATATCACATTTACCCAAAGAACCTTGTCTGCCTATGTCCTTAGACCATCATGACTACAACCCTATTCCATTATGTACAGACTTAAGTGCTTTGATGGATCAGGGCCAGCAAACTCACTTCATTGGATCAAGCATTTAATAGAGGTTCCATCACCACAGCACTTAAGCTATCTCAGCTTGTAGTTTAAAATGACTTGCTCCTAGGGTAAGTGCCGTTATGTCTGACAAACAGATTGATACAGTTATTCCAGTAAAACAGTTTTCCCTACAGGATGTAAATGCTTACAACCTATTCAGCTATTTTAGAGTTTTTCCATTGTCTTAAAAAGCAGCACAACTTGCTTCTTAAGAAATCAAACTTCTGTGGGCTTTAGGTTTTACATTTAACCCACTCTTTAATATACCTCACTGAAGGAGAGCATTCATTTGAATTTCGGTGTTTAATGTATTTTTGACATTTGCATTGGAAAGAGAGGATCATTAACTGAGACTACCGACCGAGACTTTACAGCAAAGTCAGGAATACCATAGCTATATACATTTTTAGATTCTTGCATGAATAATTTACATCCCTCACTCTGACTTTTCTTTGCCTCCCATTTTGTCCATGAAGATTTTTGTAATTTAAAAATATTCCAACTTACTACAGTTCTCAACAAGCAGTATTTTTCTTTTTCTACATCTTATATTTTTTTGAAACACAGTTACCATATTTACTTGAATCTAAAGAAGAGTTTGTTTGTTTTGATTTTTTTCCCCCAATCAACATAAGTGGGGGCAGGGGAGGGGGAAGTCTTATCTTAGATTTGCATGAGACAGACCACACAATGGGGATGGTAGGGGGAGTGCATCGGGGAGATCTCACAGGCTACCTTTCTCTGGCCATTTGTCCCATTTCCCCTTACCCCACCTTCCGCTTACATTCAGCTCTGCCTCCAGATCCAGCCCTGGACAGGCACAGAAGGGAAGGCACGGGCTTGTGGAGGGCAAGAGGTTGGGGAGGTAGGTAGGGATGGCAAGAAGTGGTGGTCTGGCCCCTTGCCCCCCCTCCCTCCCCCCCGGCTGTTTTGGGAAGACAAATTTAAGATGGCTCTCCAATAATCAGATTTTATATATGGAAAATGATAAATTTATAATTTTCCATGTACTGAATCTAATGATTGGAGGCTCATCTTAAATTCAAAACCATCTTGGATCTGGGTAGATACAGTATATTCCTATCAAATAACTGTGTATAGTGCTCTTCAGTATCTTCATTAATGATCTGGATTCAGGTGTCAGATGCAGACTGGCAAAGTTCACAGATGACACTAAACTATGGGGGAAGGCAGTCATGCTGGAGGACAGGCTGGACAAGATGAGCATGAGCCCCCAATATGATGCTGTGGCCCACAGAGCAAACCAAACTCTGGCATGCATCCACCAATGCATCTCAAGAAAAACCAGGGATGTCATCCTCCCACTTTACTTGGCCTCAGTGAGGCCACAGCTGTAATACTGTGTCCAGTTTTGGATCCCCCCACTTCAGGAGGGATGTGGGTAAGCTCGAGAGAGTCCAGAGGAGAGCCACCCATATGATCAAAGGCCAAGAGAGCAAGCCTTACGAAGAGAGGCTGAGGGACGTGGAACTCTTCAGCCTGGTGAAGAGAAGGCTCGGGGGGAATTGGTGGCTGCTGGGAACAATTGTTTGCCAGAGCTTCCCAAGGGATAAATAAGTCTAACAGCCACAAACTTCTAGAAGGTCAATTCAGACTAAATATAAGGAAAAACTTCTTTACAGTCCAAGTGTCCAAGGTCTGGAACAGACTCCCCCCATAGGTGGTGCAAGCACCTACTCTGGACTCATTCAAAAGGCATTTGGATGTCTATCTTGCTGGGATCATTTGATCCCCGCAGGCTTCCTGCCTCTGGCAGCGGGGATAGACCCATAGATGTTCATAGATGTAGGGTCAGAAGGGACCTTGTAGATCTTCTAGTCTGACCCCCTGCCCTGGGCAGGAGAAAAAATCCTGGGTGTAGGGTCCCAAACATACACCCAGGCTTGAACTTGCAACTCTGTGGCCCCAGAGTCAGGATACTGCCCCCTTAGCCAGACAAGTAGGCTTAAGCCTGACAAGTAAGTCCCTTCCAGCCCCTAATGTCTGTGACTCTATGTCAATGAAAACTAATGGAATCATAGTAACACAAAACTGGTACATACTGACTTCAGTGAATCGTTATTTGGCCTTTCTTAGAAGAAATTTAAATACTTCACTTGCGTGACACCACCTTTTTATTTTTTTCAAGCTTCTAAACCAGTAAGAGGCAACTGGTTATAATTAATAAGTGATCGGGGTTGGAATAGTGCATCTAATAACATAGCATAGGGGAATATACAAGCCCAATTCCAAAACTGGCCTGTAGGACTGTGTGAAATTTCAGCAGCTGTTTCATTTCAGAGGTGTTTCGGCTTGTTTCAGCACCCAAAATACTAAATCCAAAATGAAACAGAAGAGTGGTGGTGGATGGGTCATTTTCGACCTGAAGAGACGTGGGCAGTCCCCCAGGGCTCGGTCCTCGGGCCTGCACTGTTTAACATCTTCATCAGCGACTTGGACAAGGGGGTGAAAAGCACCGTGTTCAGATTCGCAGATGACACTAAGATGTGGGGAGAGGTGGGCATGCTAGAAGGGAGGGACAGGCTACAACTAGATCTTGACAGGTTACAGGGGTGGGCAGATGAGAACAGGATAGGATTCAATACTGACAAGTGCAAAGTACTGTACCTAGGGAGAAAGAACCAGCGGCATACTTATAGGCTGGAGAACTCCCTTCTCATCAGTGCAGATGCAGAAAAAGATCTTGGAGTTATTACTGATGCCAAGATGATCATGGGCCACCAATGTGAGGATGCAGTCAGTAAGGCTAACTGCACCTTGTCATGCATCCACAGATGCATCACGAGCAGGTCCAAGGAGGTGATACTCCCCCTCTATCCGACATTGGTCAGGCCACAGTTGGAGTACTGTGTCCAGTTCTGGGTGCTGCACTTCAGGAGGGAAGTGGACAGCATTGAGAGGAACCAAAGGAGGGCCACTCGCATGATCAGGGGGCAGCAGGGAAGGCCCTACGAGGAGAGGCTACGGGACCTGAACCTGTTCAGCCTTCACAAGAGAAGGCTGAGAGGGGTGGCCATCTATAAACTTACCAGGGGGGGCCAGCGGGGAATGGAGAGTCGCTGTTCCCCCGAGAACTACCAGGAGTAACTAGGAATAATGGCCACAAGTTGACTGAGAGTAGATTCAGGCTAGACATCAGGAAGCACTATTTCACAGTCAGGACGGCTAGGATCTGGAACCAACTTCCAAGGGAAGTGGTGCTCACTCCTACCCTGGGGTCTTCAAAAGGAGGCTAGATAAATCACCTAGCCAAGGTCATCTGTCCCCAGCATTCTTTCCTGCCCATGGCAGGGGATCGGACTTGATGATCCGCTCAGTTCTCTTCCGACCCTACCAACTATGAAACTATGCAAGGCTCTGAAACGTCTCCAAAACTAAATGAAACCATCAGAAACATTTTGGAAATGTTTCAGAATATTTCAGAGGCACCCCCTGGGAACAGCCCTGCAGCCCTCCTTTTAAAGTGCCGGGAGGCTGGGGCCAGGCAGGGCAGCCATGAGGGCTTCTCTCGCAGCTCCCCACACAGGGGTAGAGGCAGGCACAGCCAGAGGAGCCATGGGAGAAGTCCCCCTGGCTGCCCTGCCCGGCCCCATCCCATGCCCGGTCCCAGCCTCCCAGCACTTGGAAGAACAAAAAAAAAAGCCCTGCACTCACCTGATACAGGAATGGGGATTGGGGCCTCTAGGCACTTATGGCAGAGCCCCCACACACAGCGTGGGACAGTGGGGGGCAACTGAGATCACCCCCCACACCTGGCACCCACATGGCAGCTGCCCCATGGCACAGGTGCATTGCAGCTCGGCAGGGCACTATGCACTGTCTGGGAGCTGGGGCCACGGGCTGAGTGGTGCCAGGCTCCAGCTGAGTGCTGGAGCTGCCCCAGTTCCCAGACAGGAGGCCATAAGTTTGACACCCTGTTTTAGAAAAGGGCCTCCAATGAGTCTGCTAGGGGTCTGGGGCTGCAATAGGCTGAATGTCACTTAAATCCCTTGCCAAATGTAGGTGTCAGAACTCAACCCCTTGCATGTATGGGGGTGGGGGGTGGCAGAGGTGACTGGTACCATTGCCCAGAGCTACCTATAAGACTGGTTTTATTTTTTGTAGATTTCCTAAACATTTGCAGTTAAGGCTAACACCTTCCATGATAGGAAACTCAGAATCTAAATTTTTGGAAGGTTTCAGCCAAATTAGTTTGGCTGTTCTCTGACAAGGTGATGGGGAAATCTTTTTGCCATTTTTAGAAATTCTGATAAGCTTTTCTTTCAGTGGTTGTGCCATTGTGCTTTAGAACAGGACCTTGAAAACAGGTGCAGGGGGTGACCCTGCATGTCCTGGCCATGCCTTTTGTTCCTTTTCAAGATTAATTTGACAAAGAAGTCAGCTTCTAACAAACTGCACTTTGCACAGAATTCAGAGGTCTGCTAGAATTTATCTGCCAAGTCTAAGTGTTCTCCCAGTGCTGAGCATACTTCTGCCCATTACAGCTCCTACAAGTGATTACACTGCACGTGTGCTATCTCCACAGACAGACGTTCTAACCCAGGACTTTCCTTGTCTTACAGCTCCTCATTACTACTGACTTCGGTAGGAAAAGACAATTAAATTGAAAGCAGGGGGGAGATTGACTGTCTTATGCCTCCACTGTGCTTCCAGAAGTATAGAGAACCTAGCCACCCGCCTTGAATTTAAGGAGAGGAAGGAAAGGCACAGATTGGGGGAAAGAGATGGATGGAAGTGTGGACGGAAAGAGAGACATAGCTGGGACTTGTGAGACAAGAGGGTTGGGACTGGGACTTACTGGATAAGGAAATGGGATCTAGGCTGACAAAGACTAGGCTGGGATTATTTGGGCAAGAAGACTGGGCCTGCAAATGATAAAGCTGTAGAGGAAGGGCTATGACTCACTAGATAAAGAGCTTGGACTAACTGGACATGACAGGAGAATGGGACTGAGATAAGCAGTTAGGGATGGAGAAGAGATAGGGCTGAGAGAGTGCAAATACATGAATAATCCAGAGAAAGAAACAAATAGACCATCTCTGCCTTGTATTTAGTGCTTCTATAATGAACAATTTAAAGCTGCCTCCCAAAATTCTACCCTCTCATTCACTCGGGGGAAGTTTTATTTGGCAGGAGGAATAAACACTCTTGGTTTTTCCATTATTAAATTAATATGGCAAAAGAAAAGGATTATGTTTTGTGCCTTGGCTTGTAATTTTGCAGATCTGTGTACATGTTATATTGAAATGAAGCCTGAACCAAGTAAGCAATCAGGTATTTAGCAGGTAGTCTCTTCATGGAAAAAAACAGGCTGAAAACTGCAGTTTGCATTGATGCCAGTATTTAAACCTTATTCTGATGAGTAGGTTATCACATAAACATTAAAGGACAGTGTAATCAAGAAGGGCCTAATTTTGAGTAGTATCTTACATTACATATTATCCCATTGTTTTGACTGGGGATGATACAAGACTTACCACGAACAAGTGCTGAGGCAAAAACATCAGGTCCAGATTAAGCTAATTAACTTACCATATAAATTAGTGTTGCATAGAAAGCAAACATTAAACTGGTGATAGCAGTCTTCGCTGGATAGCAGATCACATCGCATAGTGAGCATCTTGTAGTCTGAAGGAAAAATAGTTGTTAAGAACTGCTTTTTTGCTGTCAGAGTACTAACAGTACTTAATAGGAGAATGCAGTTCCCTATATCCATGTCCACGTCTGAAAAGGCTGCATTCATACACATTTGTTGATGAAGTCTTTTTGATATCATTATCAGATAGGAACAATAATATATATTGTCTTCTCTGCAGATCACAAGAACATACAGGAAATGCAGGCATAGAGGGGGGTTGCATTCACCATAGCCCTTTTTTTAGCTTGCCTGCTCTTTTGTCTCGGCCCCTCCAGAGGGTTGCAAGAGGGGGTTACTGCTGTAGAGATGGCTGAGTTCTCTCCCCACGCGGAAGGGGGAGATCATTGTATGTGTGTGTGGGGGGGGGTCTCCTTTGCTTGCAGATTACAGGGGCAGCCATGGCATCTGCTGTTAGACACTGTTTTCTCATCTGTAAACCTCCACCTGTTTTTGCCCAGTGAGACATTTTCCTGTATAAGTACTAAGCTCTGCTTTCAAGTTTCATCCTGTTATGAATTGTTACTGAAAATAGTTTATGGCAATTAAAAAGCACCAGAGCTGGTAAAAATGTCAGTTTTGCACACAGGAACATCAGTAAGCTATGGAACAGAAATCCTGATTAAAAAATCAGAGATATGGAAAGCTTGTTAGAGTAGGTCAAAAATCATTAGCATTTCCATTAATATTCCTTACCTGAATTGTATAGAGTGGTGTGTGAGGATTTTGCAGAAGGCGCCCTGACAGCAAGTCCAGCTCTGCAAATTTTCTTACCAGTTGTGGCTGCAAGAATTTGGCCACGGATTTTGAAGCAGCAGATACTCTGCTTAGCACATTGATAACTCTTACTGCATGAGATGAGGAGAGTACACTTGCCACAACTGACACTGAGCCCTGCACAATGGAATCATTCTGCTGAAAGAGAAGGATTTAAGAAATAATGTGGCATTTTAAGAGCATTTTACTTACATACCCTGGCTAATGGGGAAAGGCCATCCCAGAACTGAATGCTCAATATTTAAGCCTATATAAGGAAGATATTCTATTAACATTTCAGTTACTCTTAACTGAACACTATAAATAACAGACACCAAGTGCAATGATCTGAAATAACTTGACACAATATAAGCTATAGTACGAAGAGATAATCCTACCCTAGATTCTTCTGCAAAGCACCATCGTATTTTACCCTTACTGTCTTGCAAAATGATGTACATATATTTCGCACGGTTAGCTCTGGGAAATGAAAACAAAGGTTTTAGAGCTATTGTGTGGCCACTGGTTATCACTACAGAGGGGCCCAAGGCTACCTTCTCCTCTGCACTATTCCCAGCCCTATGCTGGCTCAGAGCAAGCAGAAAACTGCCATCATCATCTGAATTTAAGAAGTCCTATGGATGCTGAGGATGCTCAACACCTCCCATGAGGCTTTGTCACCTTGCAGTGCTCACTGTAATTTTTCCACCTGACTCAGCATCAAAAGCAAAGCTGAAACTTAATATAAATTTGGAAACACAGGTGTTCAAGCTGAGAAAATGAGACTATCAACTCAGAACATTGATAGAGGATGGATCAGATTAAACTGAACCCATGATCAAAGCCAAAGAAATTTAATATTTGGTTCTAGGTGAGTTTTCCTCTTGATTTTATTTGTAAAATTGACACCTGATTAATATTGTGATGAACATATGAGAAATGTGCAAGAGAGAGAGAGACAGAAAGACATGTTCTACTTTAACACTTAAAAATATTGTCTACTTTTCTACTTAACTCATCACATTGCTCTTTGCCCCTCTGCTCTGATAATGCTGACCACTTGTCTGCCTGTCCATTTCTTTATGCTTTCTTCTGTCTTCTTAAATAAGGTGCTTCTGAGCTGAAAAATAAAGCCACTTCTCTCCCTTTTAAATTCCCCTTCCTCAAGACCCATTTTTTCATGACTGGGGAGTAAGTAATAGATATTGCAACTGAGGGTTAATCAACAGACACATCTGATGCAGATCAAAAAATAAGGAGGCTTGTCCATCATCACCTTGACCATGGTTGCTTGTATCTGGCTCCCAAATCTCTTTATTGGTATTCTTGGCTGAACACTCTTCAAGCCAAAGAAGAAACAGCAGTTGTATGGCAATTCAGACATGTGTATTAGTCCAGTAGACAGGCTGGAGGCAGTGGGGGGTGAGGGGAAGGTGCAGGGGAAGAGAGAATTCAGTTCTGATTCGCACCATTGGGCATTACCACTATACAAATGGCATTAGACAGGAAGCTTTGCACAAACTTTTAATCCATGGTTTTCAAGCAGTTATTATTTAGAAACCTGACCTTCCATTCAGCAGCTCCAGGGGATTCAAACAAAGATTGGAAAAAACAAATCAAAATGCAAACTCTAATGCATCTGTGTATGACATTCTCTGGGGTCTCACTTTTTGATACTCAGGCTCTCCAGCTGCCCAAGTTGTTCCTGTGCATGTCAAGAAGTATCTCAGTCTGACAGTGAAACAGCTCAGGGGTAGGCAACCCTACATGGGTGCCAGAGTGTGGCACTCTAAGACATTTTGCTTGGCATGCATGCTTCTGGGTGAATGGTGGGGAAGGGGCCAGGGCTACATGGCCACAAGAAGGATCAGGCCCTTTATGGCTTCCCCACCATCTGCCCCTGGCACACCAACATCTTACAAGTTGAAGTTGTGGGTGTTTTTGGCACTCTGCCCAAAAATGTTGCTGACCCCTGGCCTAGCTCATACCTAAACCCAACTGAGATATAGAAGGTTGCTGTTTCTTCACCTATTTCCCTTACGGTGTGGGAGGGGGTGATTAGGAAGGTGTTATCTGAGTGCACCTTCCACGTGAATAGTGGATCATGCTTTATAGTAGGGCTGTCCAACTTCTAAGCAGTTGGATCCTGCATGTCCTATGGGCCATACTAACGGAGACTGCATGCTGCAGGGGACACAGCCTCCCCCCCGCCCAGG